AATCCTTTAACGATGTTTCAAGCTTCTGTATGAGTAGATAATTGTAATTTGACCGAGCTGTACGTATCATACAAAACTTTAGCCGTTTGTACCTACTTTCAGGCAACCAAAACTATTCCATTTGTTCTTTTGTTCTGAATATAACTATTAACCCTGAAATATATAGTGAGTACTATACGTTTCAGCAAGTTTGAATGTGGGCCCATAGGTTTCGAACGATCCTCAAGAGTAAACAGCGGTTATTTCCCCAAACAGCATTAAGCAGTTCATCCTTGTTATAAGAAGATTTCTGTTTTCTTAGGGTAAAGGATTTTATTATTTAAATAGGCTTCGGCTTAAAGTAGTAAAGTATGTATCAATTATGAAATCTGTACACGTACATTAAAAGTTCTATTCCTGTTGTACGAGGTGTTTAATAAGAATATTTATAATGCCACACACGGCCAATGGCTGCTGGAATAGTGGTACCCCGTGCTGGAACACAAATTTTTCCATGTAGGCTCTGACCTATCCGTGATTTTTAATGTTGTGTTTTGCGGGTGCTAAACTTGAATTGCACCAGTCTCCCGTCTACCAAAAACAAGCCTATAGGCCTAATATATTAAATGTAATACACATCTCTGTACCATTTTCTCGAAACGTTGGTGTTTTCATCATTATACCACCTTACACGGCTGGTAGAACAAGAAGAATTTATCATACTTAGTCGCCGTGACAGCTTGAGATCATACATCTTTAAATCACACTCACATATTTCATAGTTGTTGTAAGTATCTGAAAAATAATTAAATTTTTAAGAAATATTCTCTCATTTATAAAAATATATGCATTTTAAAATATGTGAAATTGTAACCGTGAGCGTTATTTTGTATGCATGGTAAATTTAGGCCGAGAAAAGAACAAATTTGGCCAACTGAAGCCAAAACTCGTCTAAATATTATCTAAAAATTCAGTCTGTGTCGGTGGGATAAATAATTACCATTTGGTTCTAAAAGTTTAAATGCACTTCTGAGCGAGCGAAGAGGAAAATGTGTACAGCAAATGATTCATGTTATCGGGAAGTGGAGAAAATGTACAGAAACATTAATTTTGTTTTGCCCTTCACTTGTAAGTCTAAAGTTAGTGCTGAATCATGGAAATCTTAGTCACTGAGAAAAATTAACATTGAGAAACCAAATTATTTTATCACTTCGCCAGTCGACAATTTACATGAGTTAATAGCCGCGTTCCTTTTGCTTTCAAACTAAAAGTATTTCTGAAGAATGCGAAACATGAGGCTTGATCCTCCTGCCGACACAGGCCTTGACGAAAGGGAGACGATGAATAATAAAACGGTTTCTCTACCGAGACACAGAACACGAAAATGGATTTTTATTCGCCTACAGTTATATTCAGACAACCTGCTTCTTACCCCAGTTACAAAGAATGCTACACGACAGTGTAAAGGGACCCCACCGTAGAGTAAGTTTTATTGACATCTCATAGATGCCCGTACAATACATTTCATTGTTTTGGTGTGGATTCGACATCCTTGTGTAGTTCTGTTTCTAGGCACTCCTTCTAGCCTTTCGTTACTGACCAATTGAGATCAAGGTTAAAAATCAGGTTCTTTACTCAATGCTAGAAATCAAATGTTAAGCTAAAACTGAAGACCGTGGCTGAGGTAACACGTTGGTTAGTCGACGTACTGCAGCCATCAGTGTAGTCCTACATTAAATTAAATTTTACTTAACACTGGCGGAAGAAAACAGAAACAGTCTACTCAAAGATAAATCTGATCCGATTCCTAGAAATTAACTTGTGTTTTTACAATAAAAATCCGGTAACTAACAGCCTGGATTGTGGCAGAAGAATTGTAATGAAACTTCTTGTAGGCCTAAAATTACCTAAAGCAATATCATAGTTTTATCAAATAAGTATTAATTGTGATCTCTTATGGAGTGATGGGGTGGCACTGTCACACATCATTTATTTTCCATTAGATTTTATCAACAAAATTACATACATAATACGCTTCCAAAAATATAACTACATACGTATAAGCCTTAAGTAAAGGCCAATATTTTTCCTGTTGCTCACTCCAAAAAATTGCCATTTTTAGTATTTTACTGGTATAAGGTATTTGGTAAATTTTTAATACGTGAGGAAAACAAGACGAACTTTGTTTTGCGTGTATCAATGAAATTACAAATGGGTTTTGAGCCACTTTATTTTTATTTATAAAAGTTTTAACATTTCAGAAACATTGTAAATCATTATACTGTGCAAGATTTGTACTTAGTAAATTTGTAGATAAAGAAATATATTCAGTCCAATGCATCCAGAATAACGATTCATAGTCATATTGAAGAATAGTTGTGACATTTGAGTAGAATTAAAATGTTGCTGATGTATAAAATGCTAATTGTTAGTGTTAAATTTTGGCCTAAGCTGTATTTAGTATTTAATTTCTTTCATCGCCTAGTTTAAATATTCCAAATTAGCGCGTAACACTACTGTAAAAGTGTTGTAGTTAATAAACCGGAAAAATTTTATAACAAGGTTTGATTATGGAAAGATTGGCTAATGATTTTTTTATAAATTACGTGCGCTTAATATTATTACAGTTCCCTGAACACACAAACGCCTACGATGGGGTACGTATTAGAACCTCCTTGTATAATTCATATTTATCCGCAGTTTCACACTGCACGTTAAGGTAAATTAAAAGTACATGAAAACAATTAAAATCAGATTCTTTCAGCTTATTCAGATGCTCTTGAATGTCCCTGTTTTTTTATTACTTTGGAGAAAGTGTGTTGAACATTGAGAACTGATAGTAGTTTTGTAATATTTATTGAGTAGGTGTCTGAACTGGAACATAAAACTTCAGATCATGGTTACTGTCTGTCTTGAATGCTGATCTTTACATATTCAAGAAACAAGAGCCGGCCGGCTTGACTTTTCTAACTCCGACCATATCTATGCTGGTTTATGTAAATACGCCCAATGTTTAAGAATACTGATTAACTGTTAGCGTGAACCGTTTATACAATTTTTCCTGCAGGAAAGATTCTGCTCAGTCCCACATTTAGACGAAAGCTTTTATAGGCTACAGCTCTTACATGAAAATGGAAATTCAGCGAAAAACAATCAAGGTTCAGTCACAAGGTTTGATTCCATTTTAAAATGTAGGGCATTTCCACTTCCCTGATTTTCGTTATATCTTACTAGATATTTTTATAGAATTTTAGTGTTGGTGGATACTGTTCAAATGTCGCATAATCTTGTATCTTTTATATCCTAGGAAAATATCACTCCCTGCATCTTACAACCTTTGATTCAATAAGACTCCAAAAGTTACTATTGTAATAGCTATGTCTAGACTTAGATAATACTGGATAAAAGTGGTTTTAGTATTTTAACTTTTACTATGTTTTCAGAGAAGCATCTAAATGAAACATGCATGCACTCCGAAAACAGACATGGGCTTATCTGAGGGACACGTACATACGATGTGTCTGGTAAATTTTGAGAGTAGCTTCAATTACGTTAAAAATCTGTAATTTGTCTGCAACCGCATAATTAATCCACAACAAAGTTGATAATAACAAATTTCCAAAACGTCGATTTAAATAGAAATAATAATAATAACGTGGATAAAGTTTTGCAAAATAATTAGACCTTTACATGATACACTGTGTCACACCGCCACTAGAGTCCTTTCAACTTTGCGTCCACAGATTAATTTGTTTGGGGGCAGAGAAGCCGCAATTTCGGATGCTGTTTCAGGGGCGTTATTTGTCGGCGTTATAAACAAAGTTGTACCTCAGTTCGCAGGTAGGTAAAGTAAGTTTTTCATGAAGACGTATGGGGAGGAAGATAAAGTTCCACGGATTCGCTAGATGGATATGAATATTCAACTTTATTCTCCCGTTGTCTTATGGACCTTGAAAGAGCTCCTGTACCCATTTGATAGCACAATGGGTTGGCTCCGGACCCGGGTGGAATTTATTGGGAAAAGAAAATCATTGTCTTCGCTAGGAATTGAACCCCAGACATCCAGCCCCACTTTACTAAGCTAACTCGGTCCCAGCTAATGATGATGGTAATATGGACTGTAGTGGATGTCGCGGTCTCTGGGGCATGTAAAAGGGCCCATTTGGAATATTTATGTTGTGGTTTTGGTAACTGTATAAGAAATCATGGAAGTGGTGGTTTGTCGAGACTTGCGAAGGTGATTAATCCTCAGGCCTATGTGTACAATGCCGGCAATTTAATGAGGGGAGAAGCAGAAATAGGTGAAGATACGTATTTTATTTTGTGAGATATTAAAATCATAGTGGGAACAAAATAGGCTTTTTTTATAAATTTCAGTACCTAAATATTCGTTCTGAATTATAAATAAAATAAACAGCTCAAAATAATCAAAATTTCCATATATCTTCAAGACAAACTGAAACAACTACCAATAAGAAAGGTAATACATAATTGCCAAAGTTTTTTCCTTAAAACATAACACAATGAAAATAATACAAAGGCGTAAGTTCTGGTCATTTTAAATATGTATTTACTTCGAGGTGTTCAATGGTCATGTTTATATTGCCCTAAAACTCACCTGGTACTGTATCAAAGTTGGTTACATTTATAAGAAATACCTTGTTTAGATTGTTTAAGTCTATCTATTGAAAACCACACTCCACAAAATTAATCCCGTCTGGTACACGTTCTTTATGAATAGGATTCAGTTTCCTTTATCTTGGAATTAGGAGTGATTTTTAATTTATAAATGACGAAGTGGATATTTTATAATTTCCACGAGTGGTTGGTGGGGGTGAGCGGTACTCAACCCTCGCCTAGTTCTTGTGCAAGTAGTTTCGTATTGACCGAGTAACTCTGTCATAGCGGAAAGAAGACGATAGATAAACAGGCATAATAAGATGTGAAGTAACTCACGTTTTTTGTCCCACGTTGAGATTTCTTCATCTCGTCCTTCATCAACTGGCAGCCACGAAAACGGCAGAAGGAAGGAGCCATATTGAATAACATGTCGCAGGCGACCTACTTTTCAAATGGGCGGATGAAGACCGATGTTTGTCGACCGAGATGGAGAGGCACAACCGAGATCACCGTACGACAGCGCGCCCCGGAAAAACATTCATGTCGAGCCTTGATGGCCTGTGAGAGAGAAGTTACCATGGTTATAAGGTAAATTATTATAATACTCTGCCAATTACATTTGTAAATTACAATATAGGCCTATGTAAATTCTTAACCTGTCTTAATTTACTTTCTCTTCCAGGAACAGGAAATATATTAAATTATCTTATATATATAAAAACGACAGTAACTTTAAACTACTTATACCTTTAGATTGTTGTTTTACAAATAAAAGAATCATAAAATACTATAGTCCAAAGCTAGAAAAAATCGAAACACCTTTATTTGTAGTGTTATCGGTAATTGAAATATGTAGATATTAAAGTACGTTGTAACATTTTCTTTGAACTGACGTACGTCGGCATTGATCTTTTGCATTTGTAAAACATCGGGAATAAGAACTAAGTAAATAACAATTAAAATTGTTTTCCTTAAAACAGTTTATCTGTCGTTCTCAAGTTCTTCAGAACGATTTATTTTTCGTTAATTTACCTATAAAGAAATATCAGGGCACACTATACAAACTATAGGCGCTCGTACTCATCGGAATGTAAATAAATGAAGCTACTCTCTATTAGTCTTAATCTTATTCTTATTATTCCATCTATTCACCATTTTATAAGGTATTTACTTCTATGTACCCAAGACGAACCTTATCCCTAAGGTACATAGTGCAGCAGCTATTTCCGAAATACTTTTTGTTTTTAATATGTGTTACATGTATTATATAGTTTCATTGTGAGGGATGACTATATGTTTTACGACAGCGTCTTTCGAATGATGTATGAAGATCCTATTATAATTATTAATATTAGCCTAGTGTTAGCATTACATCTATATCTTCATTATTATGATTGTAATTATCTTTTCTGTTACCACCGTTGTAAACCATGAGAAAAACGATTAGAATAAAGGAATCCATAAGTTTATTTTTCTCATTCACATCAATTTATACGATTTTCTCAACTTCGAATTAAACTGTTTGCAAACTTCCAGGAGGCTAAACAGTTTCACTACTTACTGTCTATCAAACTCACAGAACCTATATTTTTCAGTGAATGAACTTTATTTTTGTGCTTCGATTTGTGAAATTATATAACCATGTAGCACATAACTGAGTGTTTACATTACTAAGAAATTATTTGTTTTATAATTAAAACGTTCGTCACAGTTTTCACAAAAATATATTATTGACCCATTTATTTACAATTAGGCCTATGCTTTTATTATTTGCGCCTTGTGTTTTCTCTCGCACTCTACCTCATTTTATACCACGTATCTGCTTCACAAAATAATCTGTGTAATTTTCTTATAACATTACAAAGAAGCCAAGGCTAAAAGTATAGAGGTGGCTGTCTTCCGCGATGTTTCACGGTGTAGTCTAGTTGATTTTAACCGAAGTTTAAGAGGAGTTTACAGCCTCCATTATTGATCTGTCGATATACCAGACTACAGGGTGCAACATCCCATAAAACGTCTATCTTACGGAATTACAAATTATAACACTTTGATTTTAATTCAGTCATACTCCGGATTACACCTGAATACCAGTGTGAAAATAACTTCAATTAAAGTACCGTAATTTTTAAAGGAATATACATCCTTTGTAATAAAGAATTTACAGAAAGTTGTGTTAGCCCTCCGAAGCACGTAGCTTATTTTACAATGCGCCTTTCCTTCATAAAAGAAAGCAACACTCATCCATTGCAAACAACATTTGTCTCGTATTTTTTTTAAAAAAATACTATTTATTCTACCGTATCAATTATTCAAATGTAGATAATCACGGTCTTTCTATTTTAGTAAATGCAACCTTAATAACTACTATATGTAATTTAACATGTCATATATTAAATTTATTGAATCTTTAACAGTTTCACACAAAACGGAAACCGTGGCTGAATGTATATCATTTATGAAAAACGTAGAATTAAAGTTGTGTTCAATTCAATAACCATTAAGATTTATAAATGATACGTTGTGTACAGAAAAGTAATTGCATTTCATTCTTATAACTGGTACTACTGTAAACTAAAGAAATAATCAAAATTAATCGCATAGACACAAAGCAAACAAAGCTACCAACAATACAAGATGTGATATAGTTGAAAATATTTAAGACACTCCACTAAATTGCAAACTTACTCTCGATAACAGGCACTGAAGTAAGTAAAATACTATGTTAAAAACTCACAATTTCTAAAACAGATCATACACGTGAGGAATTCATCTTGTATAACTTTTACAGCCTTCTACTTGTATCGTAGTTCCTCTTTAGAACAACGACCACGTGTCAACACTGTTACTTGGATACACAAATTCCGAAGCACAAATATCCAGGCCTACGAATGCGTTATCGACAAGTGAATGTATGTATAGCCTGTATTAACTTGTAAGCAACATTATCTGGTTTCACAGTTTTCTATTGTGTATCTTTCACACAAAAAATCATTGAAACTTATTGTATTTAATGTAGCTTATTAGTATTGCTTATGCTGCTTTAACAAAATGTATAATTCTAAACTGACATATAATAGTGACAAAAAATATACAACATTTATTAAAATGTTTAGAACAAACTGAGACAGCAAATGTAGAAGGTGATTCTGAAAATCAATATTGAAATGTTACTCGCTCGTATCATCACTCCTTTGACACTAAGAATAGAATAGGCCACTGTAAATAGTGTTTCTGTGGTCAGATACCTAATTTTAATTAAATATATTTTAAAATAAATATTTTATAAGGCCTTTTTACAGAACTCTTTTATAGAATGCCATATTCCAAATAAAGTCTTTAACAACTATATTCAAGTTCAAAGATGTAAAATAAATTTAAATTCTGCAACAGTTCCTTAGAAACAATCGTAGTAGTAGCACAAGCAGAAGTATTGAGGGCTAATGTTTACCGAATCAGAATGTATTCCAAATTCTATTATTCTGTCTTAGATTCCAGTAAAGAATTTGTTACCATCATTAAATCTACTAATGAAAGAATTTCTCAAATTAAAATCATAAATGTATAGAGTTTTGCAATCCATATGATAACAGAGCAGAGAACATAACATACATACTTAGTCCAGTGCCAGTAAACGCGTACATTTTTTTATATTTCAGATACGACGATATATGCTTTGGCGACATCATTCACGAGAACGAACACACGGAAACATCTTAAATACGTCACACGCTATCACATTATTCACATTTCACATTTATTTTTTTGAGATACAAATTAAAAATTACTCAACTCGTTGACAGTGTAAATCACAGTTTGAGTTCTGTGGTTATATTTGATTCACAGCACTGGGGTAGAATTAGACAAATAGGCGCTTCAAATGGTGATTAAACGCAAAGAAGAGGGAGGTATCAAACTGACGTTCGGAGATTTAAATCTGAATTGAAAACCACATCTCAGACGAAGATCTCTTTGTATTAGGCTTTTCCCCACTAAACGTTTTATTCAGGCATTTTCTTCTTTACTGAAGTAAATAGTGCTACCCGCACAAGACACTCAGAGGCCTAGTTAACAGTGAAGAGACTACAGACTTACAAACCAGCGCATCAATACACATCATGTGTCCCAACCCACAGTAGTGAAAGGTAACCAACTTCCAAAGACGTTCCAAGGCGTTGGTTTCAGAAATGCAGGGGAGGGGGCTGACAAAACATTAAGAACCTTACGTTTTTCGCCATCATATGAAAAAGTAAGAGTGTACCAGGAAGCCTTTGTATGTTGTTTCACCTTCTGGTATTCACGTAAAGCAACAGGAGGGTTTGCAGGAACACTAGTATGGGATGCAAACCCTCTACACATACACACACACACAAACACAAAACTCAAGTATTAAAAGATGGTAGGCAAACCAAAGACGGTAAAGAACTCCCCCTACTCACATAGGCCTACCATCATCTTCCTTAGAGTGGGTGAAAAATACTTTCTGGAAGTAGAAGAAGGAAAAGCGAAGCGGGAAGCAAGTTAGAAGAAGAGGAAGAGACTGGTTACAGATGAACACGTTGTGGTGTAAGACGAAACCGCAAGTTTGAACCACCAGCATAGAGATGCTCCAAGCCTCTGACTGTGGGATGCAAACCCATAAACCAAGCTTCCTCCGTTCTCGTGTCTTCAGTTATAGCCTCAACAAAACGGATGGCGGGAACACCAATCGAACTTGCACAAGACTTCACAACAGCAACAAAAAAAGTAGAGACAGACAGCATAAAAACTAACTCACCCATGTAATACATAAAAAGTAGAGGTACTTTCTTCAGAATGATATACTGTGTAAGACATTTTACTTTAGTCATTCTCTAAGTTCGTTATTTATGGAACACCTTGTAGCTGTTTTCCATCATCTCGTCTGGATCGATTCTCTGATGAACCACATGCCGACTCGGTGGCGCTAGCTGTCACATGTTCACATTTTCCACATTCATTTACACATTTCGTTAAATTTTCATACAAAATCTGAGAATGTTCTCGGTTTGTTACATAATTATCTGTGTTGATCGATATCTCTTAGTCGAACTCATTCCAAAAGCATGTCACAGTAAGATACAAAGCAATGTGTAACGAGAATAGGAATTAAGATTTTATCTTGTAGTTTTATTTATGTCTGTATATATTTAACTATATAAAAAACTATGACATTTCTGTGACCTGATTCAAATTCCCCCGATTTCCAACATTGCTACTTCAGCCCTAAAGACAATTTCTCCAAAACGTTGGAATCTTAGGCGTACTGACGAGTTGACGCGGTACAAAAACCCAGAAGATGTTCATCATCATCCTCACAGTCGTGATAACCTCAAATCTATATATCCTATTTGATGTTTGCATAATAAACTGTGTAACTAAAACCTATGCAGGAAATTGTTTTACACTTACTCACCAGTCAGCAAATTACAATTTAAATCTAATATTCGCAAGAAGATGAATTAAGAATGTAATTATGGGACTGCACTGAATTCTGCAGTTTCAACCCCCAACATTTTTGCTACCACCAGAAACGTACTTTTTCTCTTGTAATAATTAAGTTGAATGAAATGAATCCACTATTTTTATTAATTCACAATCCTATATGTTTATCATACTGCGTGCTAAAACAGACAGATGTCCTTTCTTGGTGTTTATTTTGATAGGCTTATGCCGTAAAGCACAGTTCACCAAGCTTTGTTGAACACAAAACACAATTCGTATGATATACACAAGTGATGAATTCCGTTTCCTATGCAAGTTACTTCAAGACAAATATAAATTTTAATTAATTTCAGTACCACTTTCAACTGTTCAGTCTCAATTTCAGTAGGGTACTGGAATTTTATATTAACAGACTTCTATAAGCGCCTTCTTCATTATTTTTTTTTTAATATTACAATATATTCCTTTAAAGTTCACATATGTCAGTTTCGGAGAAAATAATTCGAATATTTTCATGCTACTTCCGTATAATAGATTAGCATTACGTAGCCCTATAACAAAAACTAGTCTATATTGAAATTTTACATACAGACACACCTATTACATTGAATCACCTTGTATTATGAATAAAGTAAACATATTTTAATTATAGAAAACTACGTGGAATAAAATATCACTGCACAATGGGCTCTTCATATTTCCCAAATAGACACACTTTTAGTGAAATGTAAACTGCTAAATCGTCTGCACACAAGTTGTCATAGATAATATATTCGAGTAGTCTTCATGTTGTCATTAATTGTTCCAAGATATTTTTTCTGCAGTTTCAATTTCACGAAGCAGACACTTTCATAATTACAAAGATGCAGCACTCAAGGTAAGTGTCACATTAAATAAACGCTGTAATTGCAGCAGGGCTACAAACCCCACGTCACAAATATCACACAATTATAGATTTGGTAAATATAATACAGTTTGAATTTTGCTGCTTACTGATTGATGGAAAATTTTGTGTTCATAAAAATTTATTTAATACAAAAAAATGTTATATTATACAGTTTGAATTTTGCTGCTTACTGAATAATGGAAAATGTTGTGCTCATAAAAATTTATTTAACACAAAAAAATGTTATATCCTATAAGGTCGTATACAAAATAATCTGTAAGCATAATAAAAACAGTGGTGATTTACGTAAGTAATTCTGTGTACTTCAAAACTGAATATTATCATCAGTTTTGGCTGTAAGAACTGAACCCCTAACTTAACAATGCACTTCAAGGGCACAATTTATATTATTTATTACAATTACTAACATAAGGAATGAAATATCCTAAATAATCATTACTGCACAGCCTATATAATTTTAGTATGCAAATTAATTTTGTTTAGAAGCAGATTCCGTACCTATAATGTGTTTTATTCTTAAGTAGACTTTCTTTTCATCATTACGAGATTCTGTGAGTAGAAATAGTGTATACGTGTCACTTAAAACAGTATATGTAATAGGTAGTAAGCACAGTCCAGTAATTCGAAACTAATAACTTATTTACCCGTGTCACTAGCAATATAAGCGCTGGTTAGTCAAAGATCACACTGAAATGTCAAAGGCTGCACAGTGCGAAGGTATTGAACCTCTGAGAGCCACCGACAGCGACATAACTCTTCACTGACTGGTACTAACCACCAGTACCTACATGAACATGTAATCCCTATGCCATACACAATAACACCGTATTCCTAAGCGTATTACCGCCAATCACGCCAAGTCTTTTGTTTATTTCATTCGCTATTAAAGAGTATATGCCTATAAAATGAGCAAAAGGAGAAAGGAGTGGGATTAAAAGAGAGAGGGTCAGAGACGAAGAGGGTTAGGAATATAGAATTATACCTATGAAATACAATGCTAATTGTTTTAAAATAGGCAACAAATAAAAATAAGATGCCTACTTGTTTTTCCCATGTTAATTCATTTTTAACTAACTAAATTTCTTTTCAAATCACACCTTCTGTTACCTGTGTTGTTGTGAGTAATTTCCACCAAAACATTTTACTTCAAATGGGACAAAAATTAAACAAATTTAGTAGCTTAAAAATGACTGTCTTATTACGCCGTGTATCTGGTAGGAACTGACTGACTACTCTTATTACCCTCATTATGGAGGCAGTAAACACCTCTAAAGACGTCGGTCAATTTCTACCAGACTACATGGTCAACATCCTTGAAGCTAGTCGTCTTCATACTTGTCGCCGCTTGTAAGTTATTTGACGAGACTGTCAATAGCTCAAAATGTACAACGCTGAATAATATAATGCTAAAAGAATGAATTGGAAGGTATATGCAAGGAAGCGGTTGTGCCATAATTTAATTTATTATTCTTGTATTCCTCTGTAAGGACTGAGGAAAACCATTAAAACTCAGATTAACAAATCTCTTGGCCTAGATTTGAACTCACGATCTCTTGTGGCGTTAACCACTCGGCCGCTACATTCGGTGACAAACATTGTGCACGTACTGAAGGATTAAAAGTTACATAAACTATAAACCTGCAATTTTAAGTCCGGCAGAAATTAAAATGGCGGAATAAAATGCGACTGTGATGATTTGCTCTAACGTCAGCTACAACCAAAAACGTTTACGTGTTTTGTAAACAGTTTTATAGCCAAGAAATTTTCAGTCCTCTGGAAATTATTAAGCGTCGAAAGAAATGTATATGTGTTGATACGATCCATTACCCCAGGGGCCAGTCTATGCAGTCAGCGTTTGTAGCAGGTAACTTAATGCATAAATTGCATGTGGGCGTGAAGCAGTGTAGTGGCATGTAATTGAATGTACACTCGAACGTGACCAAACGGACAAAGTCCAGTTGGCTCACCGAACAGTCAAACCGAGTACCTTCCTCGTTGATAGTACGCCTACGCCAAATGGCTTATAGTCTTCATTGTTGTTTTATGTTGAAAGGGATGGCAAAGATGTACAGGGAAAGCTAAGGAAGGAAATAGATGCGAAATGGACAAAGATAGGGAGGCATGGGGTAAGTGATGAAGATAGGAAAGGAACTTATTAAAGATAAGCCCATGTATATTATCTGTGGGTGATACAGAAACAAAAAAGATCTCGTAGGATGGTTAAGAAAATTTCGTACTCCCAGTATTCCATTACAAGGAATTTGTAAAACTTATCACGAATTCTACAACAGTACAGATCTGTTTTAAACCAAAAATCCCCTTAATGGGGAACAGGAGTAACATTAGAAAACAGTGTGTTCCAATGAAACGGATTATACATATCTGTAACTTTAATCTATAAGTGAACATCAGACCTGTACGCATTAGACATATGTTTGCTAACCAACTGCTTTCGCCAATATTGAAAAATGCGTAAACTTCGCACAAAATTAATCTTTGTAATACAGGCACTTTTTAGAACCACAACGAACAAATCAATCTGTTTTTTTCATTCTCCATCATGTTTATAACACACCGTCTCTTCATAAACATACATTTTTTAACCCTTCACCGAGTATGGTATTGAAATTAAGGGACAATAATATGATGGTGCATGTAGCACGCATGCGGGTAATTTTACATATAAATATACACTAAACTGCAGTCAAAAATCTGAAGGGAAGGAACAATTTGAAAAACCGGTCGTATGTTGGAGATCAACTTAGAATGGATCTTAAAGTATGAGGATGTGAAGACGTGGACTGGACTATTGACCAAGAGTATGGCCCAACTCTTGCAAACACGATTCCATAAGAAGGGAATTTTCTTGACCAGATGAGTGACTATAATTTTGGTAGCTTCGCTCAGTTGGTCAGTGGATGAGTGTATTAATGGATAAAAATATAGAACTATGGATATGTGGATGAACAGATGTATGAATCAATCGATAAATGCATGAATACATGTATTCGATAGATTAGATGGTCGGATAGATAAATAGATTGGCAGGTAGATGGGTAGACTGGTGGACATAAAGACAGAGAAGACTTATGACAACAAATGTAAGTCTGGTAATTTCTTTGTATAGATATTTTATTTTTTTTATTTAGCGTTCTGTCCATATGAACAGGATCCTTCCATCCTTTTCTCGGACTGGGACCTGTTCATATACGTTCTTGGCAGATGATCCAGAAGTGGTTTGCCATTGCCTTCTTCTGTGTGTGAATGGAGTAATTGTTGGGATGCCACGGAGAAACCGGGGAAGCCCCCGGAGGAAAACCCCGTGTTGCCTAGACCACGGCCTTGCCCAACACAAGTTATAAATTCGGGCACCGCCGGGATTCGAACCCGAGATCCCAGGATTACAAGGCTAGCGTTCTAACCGCTAGGTCACCGTGGCTATTTGTATAGATATAGACGAATAAAATATTCATCCAGGTTTCAAATAAATTAATGCAAAGCGTAATAATAAAATACCCATTATAGTTTATGACCACCAAAGTAACATAGCCTAAGATACCAAATTGACACTGCGAAAGAATGAAGAACGTCGGAACGTCCTGTTAAAAATAACCAGATGGCGATCTTCGGTTGAGGAATGCGCAAATTGTCTTAAATGGAAATTCAGCCGCTTTCATTATTCAGTTACAAGGTTAGGCTATCACGTAAGAATCATAGTTAAACACTACCACACATTTATCCAATTATGTCGTCTGTCATCTTAGACGGTATAGTGACAGTGTCGTTAAATAAACAGTAACTAAATGAATGTGATCTCTACAAATTT